TAAATTCCTGAGATTAGAAATGATCCTAACTAAATTGGTCTTGGGTCTCAATATTCTTGGTGAGGTTCATATCAGCAGTGCTTGGACACATAAAATACAAGATTTTTAGAACTTTGTACTACGCCAGTAAAACCCTTACTTCGGCGCAGGTACAGTAATAAAGAAAGAAATGTTGGCAGTGGTGTTTGCCTACAATAAGTTCAGATCTTATTTGATATGCTCTAAGGTGACTGTGTTCACTGATCACTCAACAATTAGGTATCTGTTTGCCAAGAAAGATGCTAAACCAAGATTGATCAGATGGGTGCTCCTCCTCCAGGAGTTTGATTTTGAAATCAAAGACAGAAAGGGGAGAGAGAATATGGTCGCAGATTATTTATCCAAAATGTTCTTAGCTTCCATAAATAACGGGTCAAGGTTATTTATTTCTTGTTTTAAATTCCTGATTGTAGAAATGATCCTAACTAAATTGGTCTTGTGTCTCACTATTCTTGGTGAGGTTCATATCAACAGAAAAGACAAGATTTTTAGAACTGTGTACTGCGCCAGTAAAACCCTTACTTCGACGCAGGTACAATAATAGAGAAAGAAATGTTGGTAGTGGTGTTTTCCTACAATAAGTTCAGATCTTATTTGATATGCTCTAAGGTGACTGTGTTCACTGATCACTCAACAATTAGGCATCTGTTTGCCAAGAAAGATGCTAAACCAAGATTGATCAGATGGGTGCTCCTCCTCCAGGAGTTTGATTTGAAAATCAAATACAGAAAGGGGAGAAAGAATATGGTCGTAGATCATTTATCCAAAATGGAAAAGGAAGAATCTCAGGAGAATAAAGAGCTAATCAAAGAAACATTCCCTGATGAGCAACTCTTGATGCTCTCTGAGAAAAGTGCTCCCTGGTTCGCAGACATTGCGAACTATTTGGCAGCGGGAGTGGAACCATATCACTCTAGATATCAAATAAGAATGAAGTTTCACATGAAGCGAAGAAGTACTTTTAGGATGACCCTTTACTCTTTAAGAGATGTTCTGATCAATTGCTGCGAAGATGTATTCTGAAGAAAAGCAGCAACAAATTCTGGAGCAACACCACAATTCACCTTATGGAGGATATTTCGCTGGATAAGGACTACAGCCAAAGTACTTCAATCATGTATGTACTGGCCTTTCCAGTTTAAAGATGCTAACAAGTTTGTTCAAAGTTGTGATAGGTGTCAAAGTTCAGGAAACATCACAAGAAAGCATGAAATGCCCCTTGCTCCAATAATGGAGATTGAACTGTTTGATGTGTGGGGGCTGGATTTCATTGGGTCTTTAACGTTGTCCTATGGCAATAAGTATATCCTGGTGGCAGTTGATTACGTTTCAAACTGGGTGGAAGCCATAACTTCTCCCACAAATGATGCTAGAATAGTAATAAAATTCATCAAGAAAAATATTTTCACTCGCTTTTGAACCCCATGAGTAATCATTAGTGACGGGGGAAAGCACTTCGTGAATATACAATTTGAAATGCTCTTGAAGAGATAAGGTGTTCATCCCAAGGTTGCCACTCTTTACCACCCACAAACCAGTGGGCAGGTAGAGGTCTTGTGACACCCTCCTCTGTATGCATCCAAGGGAGATGTCTGCTAAATCCGATTAGAGTAGCCATGTTAACGTATTCAATTCTGAACTTGCATTTTTAAGTCACAAATAAAAAATCTTGTATTGAAATCGGGTTGCCCATAAAAACAGTGGGAAATTTGGAAAACACATTGCTTGCTGAAATTGTAATTTTTCCAGAAAACCTGTCTGTCTTGCAAAAATCATATAAAATGGAGCTTTCAATCTTTTGACATAAACTTTATATAATCTGAAAATAGACATCTGGGGCTTTACGTGCATATAAATTGTATCTCAATCGGAGGTCTGTAGCCCTAGAAACAGGACTCGCAAAGTGCTCGTAAAATCTGAGTGAAAATCCAAATTTAATTCAGGCAGAAGTTGTTTTTGCAAACCAATTACCAGAATTACATAAGTCTCAGGCAACATATAAAAAATCCAAAATACACAAGTTAAGACACGTTTCCAACATTTTCCAGTCTCTCTAAATATTACATCAACTTCGAGTAGACAGCACACAACCAACAGAAATAGTGGACAAATAGTAGAGTTTCCAAACAGCAGCACTCAAACATAATATATCCAAAACAAATACGTCAGCAAATACTTCTCCGTCCTCCTGCAATTTTATAAAAATTGAGCCCCAAAAGGAGTGAGAAAATCCCAGTAGTGTGGCAGAAAAACCAGTAGTGCAACAATATTAATCTAGATACAGAATTTCCAAAACAGTCTCTTCATCAAATAAATTCCGAACAGATACTAAAATGTAATCAGAATGCGTACATAACGCTAGAATACTAATCAGAATGCGTATATAATGCCAGAATACTAATTAGAATGCGTATATAACGCCAGAATACTAATCAGAATGCGTATATAACGTCAGAATACTAATCAGAATGCGTATATAACGCCAGAATACTAATCAGAATGCGTATATAACGTCAGAATACTAATCAGAATGCGTATATAATGCCAGAATACTGTATGTTCATAGCACTAAGGTGCACATACTAGCTAACACAGTGGAGATTCCATTTGGCCCTAACAGAGGGGAATTCCCACTGCGACCTATGCGAACTGAGCTACGGTTCCTTCTCCCTGGTACCTGTGGGATGCCTATATGATGAATGCTCAACCATATGCTTCTTTTCAAAATTCTCAATTTTCCAAACAGCATGTATAAGGATGCATGTTATGCCATGTTTTGCTTCGTACACACAAAATTGCAGAGTTATGATGTACATGAGCATGACAGAAATCAGAATCAGAGTACCATAGTTCATATGGTTTATGACACCCAAAATTTCGAACCAAATGTGTCATCAAAACAGAATTCCAATAGGTCCAAATTCAAAAGGCAGTTTACAATATTTTCCAACATAATATATATATATATATATATATATATATATATATATATATATATATATGTATGTATGTATACAGGGGCACATGAGCAACAGTTTAAAAATCCAAGTACTAAACTAATAGTCACAAAGGTTTAACCACCTAACACTCACCTTGATACTTTAGCTTTTTAATCAACATCCCCAAATCAGTCCAATGTCCTTGAGGCTTGTGAACTTAATCAAGAAGGTACCAAACAGAATTTTACTTTATTTTCTTATAAATCACATGGTTCCATTCAAAATTCATGCTTCTAGTACCAAGTTCATTACCTGACTTTAAGCTAAATTTTCCATGCTTGCAACTCCTAGGATTTTAATCGACTTATCATGCTTCTAATGCTAATTAATTTTTTGCCTTAGGTTCAGCTTTACTAATCGTTAGCAAATGACACAACCCAAAGTTTCCTATGCATACAAATTCAGTTTTTAAGGCCATTAACTAGTGACTTATAATTTTCCATTACATAACCTTCTCTTCAAGACTTAGGGTGCGCTAAAGAGACCCTCAAACATGTTGTCCATACAGTTTTAAAACATGCAAATCTATATTATTATTCTGGTCCAAAAGAACAGTCCCAAGGCATGACAAGGAGCTCTCTTCCAAGCTCAAAACGGTCTTTGTGCTTGCATGCACTAAATCCATGGTTGTTCGAACGGACATGAGCAAGGGGAAGGAATTGATAACAACAAAAATCTTTCTTGCATGCATGTAAGGACCGAATAGTGAGGAGCAACGGAAAAGTTCGATGTTTGACTTACATCTTCTTGCATGCACACAAGGGTTACCAAAACTGTTGAAGAGCAGCAACCTCACTCTTCCACTCTCCAAGGAATCGAGTTCAAGCTCCTTGAATGCATGTCTTCGGCCGAACCAGTGAAATAGAATGAAAGATGAGCAGACGTTGCAATCTGCATGTAAGAGGGAGTCTCCATCAAACCGTATGGAGTAAGATTGAACAAGGAATGGAAGGCATAATACCTCCTTTGTTGTTGCAGCTCGGCCAAACAATGAAGAGAAGGAAGGAAGCTTAGGTATTTTGCTCTCTGCTCATGGAGCTCGTGGCTTGAGTAGAAGAGGAAGGGAAAAGAATTCAAGCATTGTCTTTCTTGATGTTCTTCCTTGATGGTTCACGGCTGGGATGAGTGAAGAATGAAGGGAATGTAAGCTTATGTTATTAGTGTACTCCTTAGGTGTTTGCGGCTTTGAGGGAATTAGGAGAAGTGGATGGTGAATGTTTGGTTTAATTCTGAACACAAAGACCAGCCCACACAGATTGCTTCTCTCTTGCTAGGCGCACATGAAGAGATAGTGAGGGGTGAGGTGAGGCTGATTACATTATTGGACAAGTGGCACAAAACAGATTTCTTTTCCTTCTCATTGGTTGCATGGAGCGGCTGGGGCAGATTTGAGTTGTGAAACTAAAGCAAGAAATCAGAATCTTTTTTTTCCTCTACTCATGCGCATGAAAAGGGGATACAAGGATAGATGAGGATTGCCAAGTGGTGCTTCTTGACCAATGATTGAGTGAACATGAAATTTTCTTAGGATAAGAGTAAGGCTTTGCTAAAAGGATCATGTGTAGGAAATTTTGGGCTGACCTACCTCAATTGAGGGGCTTGGGCCGACGCCCTTTATGGGTCTTATGGTTCAAAACATGGCTTCCTAAGAAATCCTATCACATGTAATATCCTACTAATTATTATTTCATGCACCCTCTAGCTTTTAACTAAGATTTTTTTATACGTTGTAATTAAATTAATCATATCCTTTTAACTAGTGCTTCAAATTCCTAAAATATATTTTGAATTCGAATTGAAGACATGATTCCACATTCCTAATTGCAATTTATATATTTTCCTAATTTATGCGGGATGTTACAGGTCTCCAACAAGGAGATCAAAAGAATCCTGGAAAAGGTTGTTAGCCCCACCAGAAAGGACTGGTCCAACAAGTTGGACGACTCTTTGTGGGCATAAAAGATGGCATACTACACTCCTATAGGATGCTCCCCCTATAAGCTTGTATTTGGAAAGGCATGTCATTTACCTCTGGAGTTGCAACATAAAGTTTTCTGGGCTATTACCTTGTTGAACATGGACACTAAACTTGCTGGAGAAAAGAGGTTGCTCCAACTGAATGAGCTGGAAGAATTCAGAAGTGAAGCATTCGAGAATGCTAGTCTTTACAAGGAGCAAATGAAAAGATGGCATGACAAGAGGCTGGTGATAAAAGAACTGGGGGCTGGTGATAAGGTACTCCTCTGCCGATCAAGACTGAAATTGTTCCCAGGGAAGTCGAGATCCAGGTGGGATGGACCTTATGAAATCCTTAAAGAACTACCCAATAGAGCATTCATTATTGTGAATGAAGCCATCGCAAGTACCTTCAGAGTAAATGGACAAAGATTGAAGAAATATAACAGAGGAGCAATGGATCGAGAGGAGATAACTCTTCCTCTCGATTAATCAAAAAATGCTTAATCAAGGAGAACAAAGTCGAGCTAAGACTATAAACAAAGCGTTAATGGGAGACAACTCAGATTTCCTTCCCTTAAGTTTTAATTTTGTTTTAAGTCAATTTTTAAGTCTGCTAATAAAGAGTTTCTGTACACAACAGGAAGTTAGTTTTCGGGATGCTCTTGAGCAACTTGAACCCAAACTATTTGGCATGGAGCAATTTGTACTTATATATTAATCTAAGATATGGATCTACTTGAAAATGGGTTGAACCAACTCCTTTGACAATCCAAAAATGCATCATGGGCTGGATCTTGCGAAATGATTCAATTTTTGAATTACCTTCCCGATTCTTATAACACCTCATAATTCTAAATCATATAATTATATTTATAATATGGATTAAAGGGTAGAATTAGTGAAAATCTTGAAATCGGAGTCAAAATACGTAAAAAGGGTAAAACGGTAAAGTGCTAAAAACGTAACCCTAGGAAATGAAATGTGAGTAGAAGGTCTCAACTGGAAAAACTAACACTGGAAATGGATTCAGAACGAAAAATTGAGTGGTTAGGCAAGTTTTTTGAAATTTGATGAATAATGTTTTACCAGGTGAAAATACAATCACAGAGTATACCGTAAAGCGTGCGGAATGAATTTTGAGCTCTAAGTTTGGAAATAAGTTATAAATGGTACATAGGACTAGGATTTATTATTTCTGATGAAAATTGATTGAAATTAGGGTTTTTGGAGAAGCGTGCCCACAATGCGCATAACAACTTAAAACTGTGATTTCACTGAACGACCAGAAAGCTCCAGATTCATCTGATCAAGGGAAATTAAAGGACATTGATGAATGTTAAAAATTGAAGTTTATAAATAGTCTAGGAATTAATGGACGTTTAGTGGATTAAGCGGAAGATTTGAATTAATTTGAATTCCGTGAGGTGCAGTGGGACCTACCCCACTTAAGTGGACAAAGCCACATATGCATGGCTACTATTCATCTTCTCCTTCTCTCCTCCTTTCCTCTCCAACTCGCAGCCCCTTCATCTTTGTGCAAGTTTTTGTTTGAATCTTCATTTCCATCAAACTCCATCAAACTTCAAGTAAACAACCATCCAAACCCAACTATGGTACTCGCAAGGCAGGAAACTCGCTAGATTGGGAGAAAAGTGACACCCATTATCACAGTTTTGTGGTGGAGAGTAGCTGTTCTTGGAGTTTTTTTTATTTTTCATTGCTTGTGTATTGTGTGGAGGAGTCCTAGGCCTTGATTGTGGGTAAGTTTCTACACTTTTCATTGGATGAATTGATTGATTTATTTTATGAACCCTAGAGCATGCTTGTATGGATTGATGTGGTTGGAGACCTCAAATTGAAAATGTGTATTAGATAAAAAGTGTCTTAGAATGATGTTTTATGATGGTTGAGCTCATAAAAATTATTGATGAAAAGTTTGATAACTTAGGCAAAATAATGATGGGTATGCTTGACTTTGTGAATTGGAATTGTTGAAGGATTGTATAATTGAATTGTGGAGAAATTGCAAGGGTTAATTATAGGATTGTATGATGTATGAAAGTGTTGAATTGAATTAAAAATCCCTTGGTATACATGCATATGGATTTCGGCCAAGTGAGGAGAAATATGGATGGATGTCGCAAAATTCATGTAATTGGTGTTTTGTGGATTTGATCTATGTTTAAATGGGTTGTGTGTTGTTGTGATGCATGTGGATTGGAAGTGAAACCATTGGATATGCCTAAGTGTTGAATTTGGCCTAAAAGAGGGAAATTCGAAAAGTTGAGGTTGAGTGGTAAGTTAATGAAATTGGGGACTTGAAATGATGTTGTTAGGAGCTTGGAAAATCATTGGGATGTTGTAATAAAATTAACAACATTATTAAGTATTTTTGGCCATTATGGCCGAACCTATATGTGTGGGTGTGTGGGAGTGTGGTGCTTTGTGTTTTGACTTGTTGCACCATTGGATTGATGATCCTTGTGTGGTCACTGTAGGTTGCCTTCCACGGACGTGAGCTTTGAGCCGCGAGCTGGGTGGATTGCCTTTGGTCATTGACCAAAAGGATTGTGGTAAGTGTTTATGGTAATTTGCATGAATACTTGTATAGCCAAGTGTATGGTTTTATGTGGTTCTAATTGATATGGGAATGACCTGTGTGTAGGCATTTTTGGTTGGACCAAGCTCAATGTATCTTGCATTGGAGCTACCTAGAGAGGGAGCTTCAATAAGGAAATCCTTTGGTACTGGGATTAATCTCCGTTTATGCTCCACCATGCCCCTTGGGGGTAGTGTTTGGAGGTTGGATGTCAATAATGTAGTTATAACATGCTCATGCATTTATATATGTATTGGGTATATAGGATGTACCGTATCTCTGGCCAGTAGATAGTTGCCTTCGGGCGTTACGAACATCCACTCGATAGGTCTCCGTGAGGGAGTTCCAGTTGACCTAGGGTCCTATAGCTGTTATCCGTTGAGGAGCACTCTAGGAATGTCTCGGGTGTATTGGTGGTGTCCCCGTGCTTTATCCCTCTTTGGTAGTTATGAGCATTGTTTATTTTACATCTGAGTGAGCCATTGGGCGGAATAATCTCTAGAACCTCTGGGTTACTGAGATATATTCGTATATCTCACCCCGTATTTGAGGCATTATTTTAGGTAGTTGCAGTGAGGCTGGAGTTGTGGGCAAGAGGCCCATAGGATGAGCACTTGCAGATTGGAGGACTTTTTCCATTTTGAGGCCACTTTTGGCATAGGCTAGACTTAGAGCATGAACATTGCATATTGCTTTTGGATTATACACCTTGTTATATTTGTTCATGCCATATTTTGCCTAAGTCTAGTAGTTGATTATTATGTTGTACTTTAGAGGATTTAATTGTATTATTTATCATTTGGAAGAATTGTAAATTATGAATCATGGACCTTGTGTAATTCTTAAAGCATGTATGTGATGAAAGGGAAATATGCCTATTTTAGGTTATTGTTATGTGTATGTTGAAAGAATGCATGCAAATGAAATAATGTGATTGAAATGATTTAAGTTTGACAAATTAAGTAATGAATTGTAAAGAGAGGTAAATGATATAAATTGTTGTGGATTATAAGAGCACCAAGGCATTGTTGGTCCTTGAGTGCCACCCTTGTCTATTAGGTACCATTTGATGATAGTAACACACTTTTTATAAAGTGGGATAGGTTGAATAAACAAAGGAGGTGTCGTCAAAATTTATATAAAATGGCATTTTTTGGGTTAACTTTGGGAGAACATATCTCCTTCTACAGATGTCCAATAGGAACGTGACATACACTATTTTGAAGATTGAGATGTCAACAATGTTGTGTCAAAATTTGGTAGCCATTGGAGCTGTGCGAAGACCTGTAGACGCATTTGAGTCAGGACTGTCCAGAATGCCCTGCACATGGGGGCTGTCAGATGACAGTTTTGGGGAATTTATTTCTCCCCCAATTACTATTCAAATTATACCAATGATATGTCAAATTAAAGATTAAGGTGTCTAGTTTCCTGTATAAAAATTTGAGAGCAATTGATGGAGTGGTTTGTTCAGAATAGCAGAAATAGTATGGTATATTTGGTGCGCCAATTGAGGTTGGCTGGCAGCTTTGCTTGTCCAACTTCAAACTTTGTTAACCGGAGCAAATAAGAATTTTATGGGGAATGTGATATCTTGTTGGAAAGGTACTTGAGTCTAGAATAACATACTAAAATATGAGAGGCTTGTAATCACTAAATCTCTCGCAATGTCTAGATGGCTGAACCATGTTTCGTTGTGTAAAAACCGTAAAAGTAAGATTTATGCTAAGTGGATTTATAGTAACCCCTTAGTGACTTAAGATAAGCAATATATGATAGTTAGGAAATTATTTTAATTATTCCGCGTTTAGATTTCAGTTATGATCACAACTTTTATCATTACATTTTATTATTTTTTAAATTCCTACGTAATGAAAAGAAAAAAGTTACTCGTATTTTTAAAAAAATTGTTGTGATTGTAACTGCACTTAATATCATAATCAATGTTAACAGTACCGGTGTATAACAGGCTGTTACAATTATGTTCCCCCTCTTCTCAGGAAAGATAATGGAGCAGCAGTTACACCACTCCCCCTCAACCACGTCGCGTAGCGATTACCAATTTTTGGATAAGCATGTAGTGCCAGTTTTCAAAATGTAACTATGACAGGGGAGGTACAGAGGCAACATTTACCTTTTCTGACTGCATTAAAGGCGAGCTAGGTCTGCGATGCACTCTTAGCCTACCACTGCTCCTATATCTACTCAAGCCCAATCAATCCCTTCGGCCCACTACCTTTCTGTCAATAAAATCTCACTTGATTGTCTCTGCAGCAAACCATAACAACTCTCTCCTGACCTTCAACCCTAATTTCTTCAACCGCTGTCTTCACCCTTTTTGCCTAAAAGATTGCATACAATGACCAGACAGAAAATAAAGTTAGCCATCACCTCCTCCACTCTAGGGAGAACAAGAGGAAGTCAGAAGCTTAAATCTGACCCCACCTTTGATTGAACCATAACACCAGAAAAAGGCATCACCATCGTGAGTCAGAAACATGGACGAATTGAAGGACGGTTGGCTGATGATATTACAAAACTGGGTTGGGAGTTGTTCGTTGAACCACCACAACAGGCTAGCACTGAGCTTGTTTTGGAATTCTTGGAAGCGGTGAAAGCGGGGAAGCTACCCACACTAACCATCAGAGATGCGAAGGTGTATTTCACACCGGAAGAAATTAATAAAGCCGTCAACACAATCACTGTTCTGGAGGAGGAGGATGAGTAGGAAAGATACTGTGCAGGGAGGGGAGAAGAGAGTATCACTACTAAAGTACTTAGGGAGATATGTCTTGTAGGAGCAATCTAAGGAGCAAAAGTATGGATGCATTTCATCAATTCCAGACTAATGCCAGTAAGCCACTATACTAGAGTAAATTGGGAGAGAGCA